AGTTTCTTCTCAGTACTTTCCCCACCAAGTGGACTAGTGGTGAAAATGATAATGGTGCCCATTAAAAGCTCTAAGAAATTGTGAACTCATGGCAAACATGAGCTCACATAAATTACGTGTTTGTTTGTTTGTTCTCTGAGCTGTATGGGTTTGTACACTCAGAACTGTTCTGTGAGGGGTCAAACTGAGTCATTGCTACTATCTGTTCCTTTTGGGCTTTCCCAAAGAACCTCACTCACGGGTTGATGACACCTGGAAGCAAGCCTGTATGTAAGAATTGCTGTAGATCTAAACCCACAGTTTTATGGATATATGCATGGTTCACAGATTCAGGAAGGCCTTAGTTAATTCTACCTTACTGAGGAATTTGAGCATAAACCCCAGCAAGACAGAAGCAGCCCTCATTCATTTTTAATTTCTGTGGATGCTATTCCTCAACTCTTCTTTCTAGGCCTGGCCTATGTTATGCAGTTGAAGGATAGCTCTACAGAAGAACCTTAGCATAAACAGGTCAGATCCTGGCTTTTCGCTCTGTGCCTGGATGAAAGCAGTTCGGTTTTTCCTCGGGAATGAGTGAAGGATTGCACAGTACAGTTGGCGTGGGGATGTCTAACCCTTCCATGTGAGTCTCTGTGGCCATAACCACCCTTTTTGTGAGTAGAACATGGTTTGGTTTTGCGCTTCCTTGTGCATTCCTTGCCCCACACTTGGCTTCTGCTGTCTTTCCTGGGGAGATGAATTGAGCTTCACATCTTCCCTGCAGCACTCCCMCCTCCCTGGTCTTTTCTATGGGAAAGGAATCCTGTCCTCATGGAGCACGCTGAGAATGGAGCTCGTTAGGAGCTCGGCACCACAGCTGCAGCTGGCTGCCTAGCTCCAGGTTTCATTCTGGCACAACAGAAGACACAATGTGTAAGAGGAGGAGCAAAATCTGCACAGTAGACACTTAATCACTCTTTTCTCTACATTTTAATATGCTTTGGGGATGTAAGGTAAAAGAGTTTGAAGGTCTTTCTAAAGTGTTTTTGAAAGTTATCCCATTTCCTCTAGGTCTCCAAATTTATGGTGCTTTTTCCTCTGTGATTTCTTTCTGCCAAAGAATCTGATGTTGCTTACAGAGATGAAGTGCAATGGATGTGAGAATACGATGTGAGASATAATGAATAGCAAAGCCATTAACAAGGGAAATAACTTACACACATATTTCCCTTCACTTCCGAAAGTTTCCAGGTGTTCTGGAGACTGCATAGAGGATTCTGCAAGGTCTGAGATGAAATTCTTTTGTGATTTAAGGAGCATGCACAATAGTTAGCAATGTTGGAGAAAGACACAATTTACTTCCTAATTTCTGATTCTGTCGCGTATGTTACAGTTGAGCTAATCTGATCGTTCTCTCTTGCAGCTTTAGATCTTTCTCACACCTTTGTCTGATATTAGACCTACTCTGACATGCCTGTTCCTCCAGTCAAACTGCTACTGTATTTCTTCTTCTTTGCCATCTTCTACAAAACACAAATCTTCTGTATACAGCCTACAACTGGGGAGAATACTTTTTGGGGGGGGCTTCAATGTCCTATTTCTTTGTTTGATGAATGCTAAGTCTGCCGTTGGGTAAATTTTTTAACCATTTGCTAGTGGCAAAAGACATTTATGACATTTCTACTTCCAGAGAGGGACCTGCTGTCGTAAATTATTCAGGCAGACTTTGTGAGGGAACTCTACCTAAGAATCAAAAGTACATTGGACCTCCACTTCTATAAGGCACCTGTGTGAACAGGGAGAGTTTATAAGATAAAGGCATTTTTTGTTTCCTATAGTAGGCCATACACTATGTAATTAATTTTTTTTCATTTTTTATTTAGTCCGGACCAGCCTTGCAATAGTCTTTAGGGAAGACTGAATGATGCAGTTGGTATCAGTAGAAGAGAGGAATCTGGGAGCTGTGTGAGAGAAAGTAAAGCCAAGTCCTCTGATGCTCATGCAAATCTGATGTAATTGCCTTTAGCACCAGCAGAGCCCAATTTATGCTGACATGGCCAAGGCAGAATTTGTCTCAGCATTCCTGTATCTGCATTTAAGTGGTGAATGAGGTGTTCACATCCTGGTTTCTAAATGAAAGAATGAGGGAGAACTGAATCCAGACTAATACTGCTGTGACCACTGCATGAGCAGTAAGAAGTAAACTGTTTGCTGTGCTTCTAGCCCTCATTAGATCTGGTACATTCAGTTTTAATGGAAAGAGAGAAAGAGAGAGAGAAAGAGAGAAAGAAAGAGAGAAAGAAAGAGAAAGAAAGAAAGAGAAAGAAAGAAAGAAGTAATTCTGAAGCATTTAGAGCAGTACAAAATTTATGTGAACATCTATAACTTCAAATACATAAACATTTGAAGTGGCCCCAGTCACACTGAAACTGCTTTTTGAAACAAGCCTAAAGCAGCTTTTAACAAGTAACCATGAGTATCTACAATAGCTGGACTGAAAGGAGACAATCTGTAGTAGTGAAATTAGTATCCTGTAGTAGTGAAATTAGTATCCAAGAAGTGATTTCCACTTGCTTAACTAGAGAAGCCTTTTATTTTTATTTAAATTGAATTTGAATATTTGTAGCCTTCTGTAAACAAGACTTCAGAATTGAGTCAACAGCAGAAAGCAACCTTGCTCAACCCACTGTGTTCAGTATCACTTGTTTTTCCATTGCATTTTTTTTTTTACAAAAGGGGATGCCAGATATTGCCCAATCCCATCACAAGATGTCTCATCCCCACTGCCTGACTAACAGTGAAAGCAGCAGTAGAAATCTTGTGGGAGGATAAGTGTGGAGTCATCCTTCTCTTTTATTTCCTAAAAAACACTGAGATTTGTTCCTGAAGACTCTTAGACTTCAGGTCTAAGACTTTTAGATTGTGGTTCAAGCTTAAGGTTGTGTTTCCTTTAGGGCAGTTTAAGCCCTTTTTACATTGGAGCACAGATGTAAATACTTCCCAGACAGACCAATTTCAATCATGCAGCAAATTCTCATTGCAAGATGTAGAACTACTCCCGCCTTTTATTAAATTTGTCACTTAGATACAGAAAGACTGCATTAGAGAAATCATAAATTACAGAGGTGAGCACTTTGCACACAATACTGCAGTTAAGCTTGTTTTTGTGTGTCTGTTCTGTGCAATGAMTGAGACAGGAGACCTGGGGAGAATTGCATACATCTTGTATTTATGTACGAAACAGAAGTCAAGCATCATCTCTATGTCTCTTGCAAGGGAAGCAGCAGAGGTTGCTTCATGCTTTTCCAATAGCAAGGCCTGAGCAAGCCGTGCAGAGAAAGCCTAACTCGCCTTCCTTCCCTGCGGTGCTGAGAGGTGCGTCCGAACTGCTAGGGCCTGAACCATGGGCCCGAGTYGTTGACTTACAGGTGAATATGGCTCTGTCTCTGCAGAAGTGCACAGAACTCCCCTGTAAAACCTGCACATAGGCTCATGAAGCTATAACTTTTGTAGGCTCTTGTCTAAGCGTTTTTGACCTTGAAGGAAGCCTTCCCATTCAAAGCCAGGGCTCTGGCCAAGTCCTGGGTCCAGTCCTGGATGATAGGGAGAGTAGGACATACCAGATGTTACAGCTTGCATAGAACACGCCAGTTTTGCTGATTTGATTCTATAAAAGCTGGACCCTCTTATAGCAACTTTGGAGACCTCACTTAGGCTTGGACACACCATGTAAGCCCTCCCAATTGCTGGGATGCTTCTGCAAATCCTCACTGCAACACGGGCTCCCCAGCGACTGCGGATCTGGATGACGGTAACGTATTTAGCTATGAGCTCTTCAATTTTCTCCCTAGTGCAAACACTATGATTAAAAAGAAAATAATTTAAAATATGCCATTTTATCACTTAAGATGATCCTGTCAATTTTTTTGTTATGATTGGGACTTCAGTAACTCAGGAGAAGAAGGAGAGAAATGGAATCTTTTGTATTATCCCTTCTTTTCCAGGTGGAATCTTTCGTATTATCCCATTTTTTCCAGGTGAGCTGGACCAGGGTAAATGGGCTGCATACATCTCTGGAGCTGCATTATGTGATCCACTCTCAAGGGCTGCCATCCTGCACCTCCTCAGTAGCTGAGCACAGCTAGAGCGTCTGGGTTGGCCATGCATCTTCCAGTGATCTTGAGCCTGAGAGACAAGGTGATGCACTCAAGCACTGGAGAAGGAAATCAAGAGGTATGTATCATAGCTGTAGGAAAATTGTAATTGGGAAATTGTTGATTGTGGTGTAAGCCTTTAGTAAGCCTCTGTGTGCCTACTAAGCAAGTTAATTCCTCAAGAGCAAAATAATCCATGTTTCTTCATGAGCAAAGTTAAGTCATTTTGACCTTGGGTTGTTAGCCCTTTCTGAGTATTTCAGTGGATTAAAATTTACCTTGTTGATAAATGTTGTTCTTATCCTTGCTTTAATCAGTGAATTTTGTAAGTGAATCTTATAGTGTCAGACAAGGTGCTTGTGGATAATCCCTCTAAACTCAGGGTGATGAAGATAGGAAAAAGAGAGGGGGAAAAAATACAAACACAAAAGGAAGTGTGATGCTTTCTCAAGGATTCTTTACCCATTTCTTTTATTGCTGATCTTTTACTTTTGTTGCAAGCTTTTATTGATCTTCTGGGTGTTTAGGAGAACTGTGGCCTTTCTCTTAAAAGGAAAACAAACTAATGCTATGTTGCAAACGAATTTCTGAAAGAGAAATAAAAGCTGATGCTAGATCTCCTTTTGGAAGGATTCTGATATGAAGTGTCCCGATAGAGCTGTGGAGCAGTATCTTATTGTGCTGTTGCATTTCTCAGGAAATAGTATGATAATCTCAAACTTTTACCTAAAAAGGCCATTTACATTAGCCTGCAGGCAAAAAAAAAAAAAAAAAAAAAAAAAAAAAAAAAAAAAAAAAAAAAAAAAAAAAAAAAAAAAAAAAAATCCCAAATAGTGTTACTAATATGTCTTCCAGTTTTCGGTTCAATGAATCACTTCAAGTTTCTTCAGGCTGCTGGAAATAGAAGAGCAGAACTTCAACTAAAGTATTGTCATTGCAGTCCTGGCGGAGCTGGTATTACTCGTCAAATAAATCCTGTTTTTTACTGTATAACTGAGAATTCAGGGTGGCTTTTCCTGAAGGAAGAGGAGAAAACAAATGGAGTTGCAATGAGACTTCTTTGGTAAGTATGTCAGAAAATCCGCTGAAAGGCATTTAGAGAGCTTGTAGGAAGCAAAGAAAAAAAATCCCTTCTTCTCCCCTCCCTTTCCACTTCTTTTTTAGGTCCGTGGTTTCCAGAATAGCAACATATGCTTGAACGGCTTCATTTCTAAGAGGATGATACTGCAGCTTAGATTATTACCACCAGGGCGCTGTAGTTCTATCTTCAACATACAGGTAGAAAAATCAAAATAGTCCAGCAGAGGCCTGTTAACATATAGTGCAAAATTGAWCAGTGGTTTTTAAACAAGAAAAAATCGAAATCAATCTATGAAACTTTCATATCTGTATCGTTTTTGTGGGTATAGTGTGGGGGGAATAAATGATACGAGATAAATAAGAAAGAATTCATGTCAGCTGTTTCCTGCTCTTGAATCTCTCTCTCTTCTGACAGACTAACCCTACAAGATCCTGGATGTGGTAGACCTGGGCTTGGTGGGCATCTCACAGCCTGCCTTACACATTTTTAGCCCTTCGAACTTCAACCCTTCCAAAGAGGATTGTAACTGGACAGAATATTTGGAGAATCCTGGTGAGACTGTGCAAGGTCTGAAGCAGTAGCAACTCCAGGTATGCTGATGGAATATGTACTGAGTTCTTGAATTCAGCMTATCAAACAGAAAGAGACAAAAAGCCAATTTTTAGACATGCTGTAGTAATAGTAAAAGCTTGCAGAAGCTCTTGCAGGTTCTTGATCTAACTCCTGATCCCAAWCTGCCATGCGGTGCCCTTTCCTGGAGGCAGGTACAGGACATAATGGCATGAAAATGCAGTTCCCAGTGATCTGGTTTGAAAGCCATTTTGTTTTCCCTACAGTAAAAGTGGGGAGTAAAACTCCACTTAAAGTGGGAGTCATTCCATGAGCTCTCAACCAACAACTGAACCTATAATAAAGTGACCTGGGAACATACTTTACTATGTAGGACCATCTCTAAATGCCAGGTGGGGCTCTTCTAACCACTTTTTCCATATAAATATTAGGGATGGCAACAGATCTTAAGGCTATTCCAACAGAATCCTACTTACTTTGAGAAAGCTGAAATGAATTATAGACTATTCCTCTACACCTTACATGCAAAAAGTCTGTAAGCTGATTTGTTACTATAATAAAAAAATCTTCTGGGGGAATGTTTGTGGTAGGACTGTGAGAACAGAAACAAAGCATATCTGCATGAGTTTCACTTGTCCATTTTAATTCTTGGGAATTATCCGGCTGGGCTTTCTGAGCAATGCAGCCCTCTTCTGAGTAAATGCTCAATGAATAGAGGGTGTAGTAAGAATTTTACTGATCTCCCTTTTCAGGTACTCAGAAAAGACTGTGTGCTGCTATCACTGCCAGTATTCTTGTGGAGGTGTAATTTGAAATTACATGAATTAACAAAGACAGTTTTGGCTGCCTGAGTGAAAGGCTTTTTCTGCTGGGTGTTTCCAGTGCTCGCTGTGTACTTTGCTCCTGATTTTTGAAGGAGAGGGCAGACGTTGCACTGACATTGCTCCTGTTGATGACCTGCAGTYGCTGTTGCAGAGTGTATTTCATGTTCAGATGATATAAGGTTAACGGGGGAGAGAAGCTGAGAAGAAGGGGGTTGTACCTATTAAGGGAAATTGCTTCAGTGTCACAAAGAGCCCTAATCATGTGTAAGATCAAGTTTGGCCCCAGGTTTCTGTGGTCTCCTCACTTTAAATGTCAGAAAATGCCTTTAGTGTGCATCTGGTTTTTATAATATTGTTGAGCATTTTAACAACTTCTGTGGAACTGTTAATTCTGAGGTAAGATTTTTTTTTTCAAATGGTCATTTCTGTTTCACGCTTGTTATCAGCAAGCTCACAGCTCAAAGCACTGACTGCACATCAGCACCTAGTAGCTCCTGACCGCTTCAGCGTTGAGATGCTTTGGGCTGACCACACTTTCCCATCACTCGGGACCTTCTTCTTGCCTACCGTGTTTTTTTTCTTAAAAGTTCAGCTGCAATTGATAGAGGAAATTCTATTTATACAAAGTAATTTTTACCCTGTTATTGCTTGTGCATTGATATATTACTAATTCTTGTTTCATTTGTATGAGGTGATCCAGAATGATTAGAAAGTTGATGTCAGCATTAGAAAGATCTCTTGTGCTGTGGGAGAGATCTTGTACTAGGCAAACCTGTTGAGACTGCTGGTTTTATAAATGAAGCAGCTAAAGCTGACAGTTCTTTGTGGCTGACTATCTCATGAGTGATGTGTCAAATCCTCTGTTGGTATTGAAGATTTCTCACAGGCTTGCCAATCTAGCAGGGAAATCATTTTACTCCGATGAAAACACATCTTTTTCCTCCTTCTTCTAGAAATAAAAATACATATCAATTTTTGAAGGACCGTCAATAAAAACAGGTAAGTCTTCCCTCTACTTAAAAGCAGCTAGATAGGGAAACCTTCCAAGATTCTTGGTTTAGGCTAATGCCAGTTTGCAATGGTGACTGCATTAATGTGGAGGGGGAGGAAAGCCACCGACACTGTAGGACTTGGGTTGAATGTGAAACTCTAGGTCTGGAAGCCACGTTTGACATTTGTGGGGGAAAAAATAGCTCCAACAAAATTTGGGTTTAGCATCAGAAAATCAATCCCTTTTTCTGGATTAACTAATCATGTAAGGGTTTAAGTGTTGTCAGCTATTTCAATGTGTTAAGGGAAAAATGGGTGAGATAAGTGCCAGATGGGGATTTTATTTCTTTTTTATAAAAATACTTAAATAACYTCAGAACATTTGGAATAGTATCCTATTCTGAATTCTTCTTTTTCCTGTGCTTTTATCTTCCAGCTTTGCTTTGGCTGCAGGCTGCCTTTAAATTTGAAGTACCCTAGAAATAATAAATAGCAGTTGGTGGCACGTGCTCGTTACACATAGAACAGTAAGTGGGCTTCTAGCTCCTTCAGAGAGCTGGAGGACTTCCCCTATTAATTTTAGCATCCTAGCTCTTCAGCGACTTTCAGTGTTATTAGTGTTTAAAGGTCAACACTCTGAAGAAGACTAAAGTRGAATATAAGGCAGTTTTCTAATCATCTGATGAGTGGAAGAAGAGAGTGGAAAATACTCAATTTGCACTGACAGCAAACCTACAGGACTTGCTTGGGAACTTGATAAGTGTATCTGTGGGAGTATTTGTGCTTCAGGCACTTGATGCCAGCTCTGTTAAGGTCTGGGAAGGCACTGCCTTGTGCTGAGGGTCCAGATTTGTGGGTGTGCAAAGTTGTTACCACTGCAAGAGTGCAATAGTGCTAAAGCTCTAAGGCCGTTAGGGATGGAAGCTGTTTCAGGTTTGCAGGCTACTAACTGAAATAACTGAAATAAATTAAACTATCTTGGTTTCCTTAAGAAAAGGGTTTCATTCCAATGCAGTAACTTGTACCTTCAGCTATTTAAAGCCTTTTTAACCTGGAAGACTTCTCAGGCAGCCAGAGATAACAAAGGTGTAGCAATGTGAGCRAATTTTGTCTTGATTATCTAGCTAGGAAAAGCCAGAAAAAGGACTTCAGAACTTGCATTTCAATAAGGCATTATCTGGGGAAAAAATATATGCATTAGGAGCTGGATCAGGCAATGGAAAATATTTAACATCTTTATGCTTTTCCTTTAAAGAGAGTAGCTGTGAGCGGCTGCAAGCTGTCACCTYGAACACCAAGTCTAAGCATTTTAGCTTTTTGTTTTTAAAAAGCTGCAACACAGAATTGATGTGAATGGGGAAAGAACTGGATTGGTTTTTGTTTGGTGGTACATATGGACGTGGTGGTTGTTGTGGTTTTTGTTTGTTTGTTTGTTTTTGCTGTGATGTTCTATGATGTTCTCAAAATCTTATCTGAGGAACACAACTTATCTTTTCATTGCAAATCCAATGTCTTAGAATCCAAGCACTAAAAATAAGGCATTAAGCAACATCATTATTGAAAGGTCCTCGAGTGCAAATGTAGTCTTGACTAATATTATGTAGTGCTCACTGTAATTTGCTTTCTCATCTGTAATACTTCTTTGCATTTCTTATATACTCCTCTATTTTATTATACTTATTACTTATATACYTATATATATTATACATATATTATATATTATAYATATATAATATATAGTATATATTACTTATATACTTATTATACTTTTGTTAAACTTCATTAGCTCCCTGTGCTGATCCTCAGAAAATGACTTCAGTTAGATGCTGTTCTCATCTTTATTGGTGCTGCACAGCAGAGGAAGATATTTTCAGGTGACATTTGTTAAAAATTTGTAATGAATAAATTACTAAAAATATATCTGGAGAAATAGATGTGAATTTGTGATCTTGTTAGTAAATATTGGATGAATCTGTTKTTCTTTTAAGCATATCTTCTGCCTTTTAGGCAGTTGATTTCAAACTATTATACCTGTTATTCCTGTTATTTATACCTGTTATAATATTGTATATTATACTCCCAGGGTTTTAGGCTCGTGGAGCCTATCCCCAAACTCCCTCGTATGCTTCTCGTGCCAAACTGCTCAGTAATTGAGCCAAGTCTTAGGCTTGCAGTATCTGCTGCTCCCATCCCTGCCCAGGAAAGGCTTCAAAAGCTCCCTGGTTTCCTGCTCGGGATCCCTGAGGCCAGGATCTGCACTTCGGCTGGGACATTCCTGGCTTATCACCCTTCGCCAGCACAAGAGAGCAAAACCTTCCTCCAGGGATGAGAACACTGGTTGCTCAGGATCACAGACACTTCCTATTTTGCATTTGAATTGAAGCCTCTGCTTACATCTGAGCCAGGCAAATTTTTAGGTTATATAAATAATGAAAATAAGCATAGTCATTTTTTTATTYGATTATCTGGAAGTTTAATGATATAAAGAAGGATAATTATGTTGAAATTTTTGGTGTTATAGATGCTGCAAAGTGCTTTGCTCTATCAGTTCATTTTTGTCGCAGTCGGTGCTGTTGTGTGGGCAAGTCGCTTCGTGTCTGAGTCCTTGAGACAAATATTTAAGTCCATGATATTCTTGTGTGTGTCACAGGATTGATTAGCACAAGTTCATAGCTCAGTGCAGAAAGTTCCTCTTTGGGAACATAGTTGTTTTCCTGTAAGTGAAGTTACTTGAGTTTGTTTGGCTTTCATACTTCTGGGGAAGTAGAATTTCTTTTGCAAAGCTGTGAATCATGCTACCATTTTAGAACCAACAAATCTAAAAGTCTTGGATGCCTTCCTCTTAATTAAGTCACTAACTTGTAAGTATGTTCATCTGGGAACACATTAGAAATCAAACTGTGAAATATCTCTCAAAGCAGCAGAACTGCCACGTGCCAATATTAATAAAAAAAGAAAATCCTTTTAGAAGCTTCCTTGCTTCAAAAACTGAAAGGACAGATATTCTTCTTGCTTGAGACATRAATAGCTTGTAGATATATGTCTTCTGATTGAAGTTGGTCTGTCTGTGCTATCTATTAACATACACTAATTTATTTGATTCTTAGTAGAAAGAAAAGTGACAACTTTTAAGACAGTCTTCAATGAGTGAAAAATCCATTCCTAAAGTGACAATATTTGTTTAACGGGAAAGGTTGCCCAAAAAA